ATATATATATATATATATATATATATTTAATTTTAAAACACTTTATAAATAACTATTTTTTATTTTTGTTAAATAATCCTTATTTGCTTGTCCCAAATATTATAGTTTTTGTAAGTTATATCATATAATATACTTGTTAGATAAATTTGCTTAATAATAACAAAAACAATTTTTTTTTTTTATATTTTTTTTTATGCTCTAGTACATTGTTGATGGACGTAACCACCAGCCTTCCCCATTTAGGGTGTCGGACCCCCAGTGAGCCATGACCATGCACCGGGGACTCATGAATTTCCACGGTGCTCTAGTCCTGGGGTGAAAGCCCATGTTTGTACTTTTATGTGGTTTTTGCTCTCACCAAGACTCGAACTTTGCACCCTAAACATAAGGTGAGGTTCATGGCAAGTCCTGGTAACATAATCTTACATATGTTATATAATATTTTATTTATTTTTAATTTTTAAACACACATATTTAATGTTCTTTTATATAATATAAGAAAGTATAAAAATATTAGTAAATATTATTTAGCTAATTAAGGATAATCAATATTAAAATGATAAACTAACAACTTATTTATTCAACTGCAATTTAAATTATCGTATGATAAATAAACCATTCTGATTAGATTTCCATTTAAGTTCTACTTGCGTCACTTTCTACAGGTAGTTTTGTATCCATGACGATAAAGAAAAGTCCAATTTTTTGTCATGACTAATTATATATTGTTGTTTCGTGTGTATGTAATAGAAAGAAGTTGAACATATTAGTTTGTGTAACGACAAATTACCATGTAATCAACTAATAATAATATTGTGTACAATAAAAGTTTTAATGATTATTATATTTTAATGATGAACATTTTTATGAGTTGGTAACTTCCCTTATTATCATTATTTTATTTATTAATACACTTTACTTTATAATATTTATAATCTTTTATTATTAATCCCCCTATATATTATTCAGAACATGCTGAGCCTAAGTGGCAGACTCGCATGTTTCGAGATCCTATGTGACAAAATTACATGCTTGGTTAGGCTTGGGCGGATTTTAATTTACCTTCAATCTAAAAATAATTAGGTTCGGATTATCCATAAATATGTTGATTATTTATGGTCATGTCAAATGTATTAATTGCATTTTGATATCATTTCTTATTATAACCATTTAATCGTAAATGCATTTTAAATGTTAATTATTTTTTATTTTTTATCAGTTTTACATATATTATATATCAAATTAATCATTTCTTAATGAACTTCGATTTAACATCCATATTATATGTATAAAAAAAAATATATTATCTTTATAACAATAATAAAATAACACATGTAAGTTGTATAAGTAACAAGTGTCATTCTAAAATATATAATAATATATATTTTTTGTAAAAAAATAAATAATGTCTAAATTATTTTTTTTCAACACGGGTGTTGTTCTAGTACACTCTAAATATACCCAAAAACATACAGCGCTCGTGGATAACACGAGTTACGTACTAGCTAACAGGACTGCAGAAGCCCAACAACTGAAGCCCAATATGCTAAGATTTGAGGACATATCTCGTCTCCTTTCTCGTCCGCCGCTGCCAAGCTCAAGTTCTCCATTTTCTCCGGCGCCGTTCAGCCTCTAACCTTTATCCAAGGCAAGATATAATGCAAAGTTTTATAAATAAATTCATTATCGCAAGTGAATTTCAAACCCAGAAAAAAAAATCATCTATTTATACTGCAGTAGAACAAATGGCATCTCGACCGGAGCTCCAAGCGCCGCCGGAGATATTCTACAACGACGATGAAGCTCGTAAATACACATCATCCTCTCGTATTATAGATATTCAGGTACTCAACTATGATCCCTTTTCCCCTCCTTACCTATGTACCTTGAATGTCCTTCGAATAATTGTGCTATTCTGTGTGAATGTGCAAAGGCGAAACTTTCTGAGAGAGCGTTGGAGCTTTTAGCTTTGCCGGACGATGGCATGCCCAGATTACTGCTTGATATTGGTAATTTTAGCTGTCCATTTCTGCGTTTACCTTTACCACTTTTGGACGGCAAATTAAGATGATTTTTGAAGTAAGTAAAATTTCAATTTCTATGTAGTGTTCTGTTGTCCTACATGTTTTGATATTTGCCTTTGTTCATGTTTATGTGCTTGTCTGAATGAAATTCGTGATTTTCTTTTTCACTTTTATTCTTGGGCTGGCACGGCATTTTCAACTAATGTTCGACTGGTTTAAGATCAGTCAGCTTGGATTTGATTTAGGTCGTTTGGACTCAAAAGTGTTGATGATGAGTTCATATTGCAATCGTTGTACAAAAATCGTTTTGCATCTAATCGGAAGGCAATTTACCATGTTAATCAGATAGGGTAGGAGGCTATGAGCTTTAATTAGCTCATCTAACCAATTCAAGCCTTGATTTTATGAGTTACTCTCGTTTTCTCTAGTTCTTGAATATTAGAACAAGTTGTAGCTGCTTGATGTGCATTATTCAGATGTATGTACTTTACAACTATACTTAGTTGGTTTGCCTTACGGGAATGTTATTTCCATTAACATTTCTCAAACTCTCTCTCAAAATTTTGTTTGTAACATTCATATTCTGGTGTGTGCTCAGGTTGTGGATCGGGACTTAGTGGGGAAACACTGACTGAAAATGGGCACCAGTGGATTGGTTTAGATATATCCCCATCAATGCTTGGTATCAAGAAAATAATATCTTGCACAGAATTTCATTTGAACTTACTACTTTTGGTATTATTATATATGTATATAAGCTGCTATAATCTTAACTGGTCCAGATATTGCATTGGAGCGTGAAGCTGAGGGTGACCTTATGCTTGGTGACATGGGTCAGGTATAGCTGGTTGAAACTACTCGGAACTCTTCAAAATATGAAGTTGATAAAATGACTCATATACATATAGCTGATCGTTTTAAAGAAATTTGGATCTTTTGTGTATAGCAGATGCAGATTAATGGAACTATTGTTGCTGATCACTGAAATTCATTTCTGTAGAAAAATATATATGGGGAATTTTATGCCGATAAAAGTTAATTTCATTTTGGTATTCCCATAGACAGGGATTCTGTTTGGCTATTTGTTAGGAAAAAAATGTATTTAGAAAATATAGAAAAATGTTACCACTCTCTTTCTCCCTCTCCCTGAAAAATATCTGATCCTGTGTGAGCTTTTTTGTGTATCTACGTGTTTCTGATGGTATGCACCGAAAATTAGGATAGGTTGGGTACAAGCAAAATCGCATGGTCTATTATCCAACGAAATGAATAATATAATATTTAATTGATTTTTTGTTAGGTTGCGAATGGCTTGTCATTTTGTTGCTAAGGCAGAATTCTGCAATAACATTGTCATAATGAACTAACGCAGGGCTTGGGGCTTCGACCTGGAGTTGTTGATGGAGCAATAAGTATTTCAGCTGTTCAGGTTCATCTTTTCACATTTGACAATCTGTAGATGGCATTTTAAGGGATCATTTTTCTGTCTTCCGAATCATATTATCTAATGTTGAGTGCTAACTTTAGTCGCATGTTGTGGAACTCTAGTGGCTATGCAACGCTGACAAGTCGTCCCACGAGCCACGTCTAAGATTGAAGTATGTAGAATTTTCTCTAAAATTCTACACTAAAAATAACAATATTTTCTTTGAGTTAATCATTTTCTTACATATTTTTGGACCCATGTTCCGATTTAATCGTTATATATTACTATAGGGCCTTCATTGGATCGTTATACAGATGCTTGGCACGGGGAGCAAGGGCAGTTTTACAGGTATACCCTGAAAATTTGGCTCAACGGGGAGCTGATTCCTGGATTTGCCATGCGAGCTGGGTTTTCAGGGGGTGTAGTTGTGGATTTTCCGCATAGGTACGTATTGAATTATACGTAAAAGAAAAGGGACCGCCATATAAATCGTTCACTGAGCTTTAGAATGGATACTTGCATATTTGAAGGAGCAGTAAGCAAAAATACTGCTTAACTTGAAGATTGCACGAATGCTCCATTGATTAGTTTTTTCTTTCTTCTCTTTTTTTTTTTTTTTT